ATTTTGTTAAGAGGGTATCGTAAATGAAGTAAAATAGTGTGCTCCAAAACTACGCTTATTTCTATTCCTAAAAGTAACTCAGATTTCCTGTAAGTCATGTACACAGTCCTTTGAATAACCGAAAACAAGATTTTTAGGGTTTTAGATCGATTAGAAACGGTTGTCGTCGTGAAATTTGTCGGTAAAATCAGCGCATATTTTCCCAGACAAAATGGCGATTTAGGGTGGTCGTGTTAAAACGGCATTTTCTCAAAGTTTAAAAAGCATTTGGCCTAAAAAAATATATGGTGCATTTTCCGAGAAAAAAAGGTATATCTGGGCAAAATTTGAGCAAAATCGATTTTTCAGTCGTGGCCGCGAAATATCTCATATGTTCGATTTTTACTGACATTCACTCTTAATTACATAACATAGGAAGCTAATTTTAAAATTTCCCTACGTTATTTACACAATATTTAACTACTATAAGCATCTATTAGAAGTATTATTAATGTACGCATCTCTATACAAAAATGTCTTAAGATTTGTCTTAAAAGAATCCAACGAAGGTGAAAGCCGAATTTCACACGGTACTAAGTTCCATAGAGTAGGTCCTGCTTTCAAAAAGGCACGATCACCAAAAGACTTTCTACGTGTGTTTGGAACATGAAGAAGCCCTAGTTCGTCCGATCTCAAAGAGTAGTTATTACTTTGTTTATAAGTCAACATGTCACAAATATATTTGGGAGCCAATCTCAGCTTTATAAACCAACAGTACGATCTTGAATATAACACGATATTTAACCGGTAACCAATGCAGTCTCATTAATGTAGGTGTAATATGATCAAACTTAGGTACAAGACATACAACACGAGCAGCAGCGTTTAGCACTTTCTGCAATCGATTTAGTTGATATTTTGGAATTCTATACAGCAAAGAATTGCAATAATCCAAATGGGATGTAATAAATGCATGAACTAAAATTTTGGTAGCATCGTCAGTTAAGTATTTCCTGATTTGTTTGATATGGTAAAGGCTTCGAAAGGCCTTGCTGCAGATTTTGCTAATATGCAAATTCATGGACATTTGAGTATCTAACCAAGACCCAAGATCACGAACAGCGCCTACTGGAGAAATCAATACTTCTCCTACCCTCAATTTGTCAATCGATACCTTGGATAATTGCTGACGAGAGCCAATAATAATAAATTCTGTCTTGCTACTTTGAATAAAAAGACGATGTGCAGTCATCCAGTTTCGAAGCTCATCAATACAATCTTCCATTGCTTTAACAGCTGACTCCTGATGCAATGAGTTCTGAGGTTTAAAAGAAAGATACAATTGTGTGTCATCTGCGAAAGCATGATGACAAGGCAGATGTTTAGAAATAATCTCAGAAAGGCCAGACACGTAAAGTAAAAATAGAACTGGACCCAGGCAGCCGCCCTGGGGAACTCCAGTAGCAACCATAAACTCGGAGGACTTGCACCGATCAATGACAACTTGCTGCTTTCTATTAGCCAGATACGATCTAAACCACTGAAGTGCGCTGTCCACTACTCCAAAATCATTCTTGAGGATATCAATTAGAATATTATGGTTTATAGTGTCAAAGGCAGCACTCATGTCGAGCATAACGAGCAACGTAACCTCTTCGTTGTCCATATTAATAAGTATGTCATTCTGCACTTTAAGCAGCGCAGTTTCAGTTGAATGGAACTGACGATATGCTGATTGACTGACAGGCAGTGGTGCATTTTCGTTACAGTGATTAACTAATTGCGACATGACAACTTTCTCAGCTACCTTTGCAAGAAAATGAAGATTATTAACAGGTCTAAAATTTTCAAACACTAAATCCATACCAAGTTTCTTAAGACGGGGATCTACAAGTGCCAATTTCCAATTTTCAGGAATACCATACCATACCATACCATACCATACCATACCATACCATACCAAATAATACTACACTATACCATACCATACCATACTATGCCATTCCATTACCATACCATACCATACTATGCCATTCCAATACTATATCATACCATACCATACCATACTATTCCATACCAAACAATACTATACCATACTATGCCATTCCAATACCATATCATACCCATAGCCATACCATACCAAATAATACTACACCATACCATACCATAAACAGTACCATACCATGTCATACAACACCATGCCATGTTGTACAATACCATACCATATACCAAATCATACCATACCATACCATACCATATATCATACCATACCATATATCATACCATACCATAGCATATCATGCCGTACCGTACCATACCATACTGTACCATACCATGCCATTACATGACACTAAGCTACAATGCAATACAGTGTAATGTTATGCTTCGGGATAGTTTCAGCATTTTTACTGTAACTTCAAAACTTTCCATATCCATCATTTCAGAAACATTACAAGGTGTAGTCGGCCACGATGTTGCTCCAAATGACAAGTCCACACAATCGGCGGGCATCTACCTGTTCCCTGATCTGAGGTTTGCAAACAAAGGCAAGATCCAAGCGTGGGAGGTTCTCGCAATGAAAGCTGGAGTAATACGATTACTGGTAAGCATTAAAACCTTGTTCAAACCTTGTCGATCAATGTGGTCACTTGTTTGCCAAGACGCATTAGTGATCAATTAATTTCTTTTCCTTTTCCTATTGCTTTTCCTTTTCCTGCATGATTATGCACAAAGGTCGAAAAATGTGATTTTGACCGGTAATTTTTTATCGGCTTGTATTTGGTAAATCGTGCTTGGAATGATACGAAAAAGGTGTCATTCAAAAGCTAACACCCTAGTCTTTATGTACTATTTAAAACATGAGCCGCAGTGTTTTATCAGATATAAAGATACGAGGCGAAGCCAAGTATCTTTAGGTCTGATAAAACACGCACTGCAAATGTTTTAAATTGCTTCAAAAACGATCCATCTAGTAAGTTCATTGGCGAAGCAATTTTCAAAAAATACGCAAGTAAGTCGAGAAAATCAAACTTAAAGTTTATGTATATCAAGGGAAATCTCTATCACATATAAAGATACGACACACTTATGATTGTTCTTTGTGTTATGAATTATTGAGTTTTTGAATAATATGAAACAATTCAATTTGTGTACTTAATATTGGGGGCACAATAGCACGCAAAAAATGGAAATTACCTTCTTTTGACACACCCTGTATTTTTTTAACACAGGTCGTGCGTGCGTTTTGCCTTTTCAATGTAAGTGAGCCGTACTTATCGAGCGATGGTGCATCCCTGGCAGCCTCCGAATGTGCTTCAATCACGTGTCAAACCTCTGAACGTTTCTGTATGAATGCAGGCTCATGCGTAGCCTCGAACGCCAAATGTGGATCCTCAGCCCCTGTGAGTTTCGCGACAAAACACGAAATCGTCCACGAATACATCGCGTACGTTTTAGCCGGTTTGAACATCCTCACTTTCGACGGAGATCAGTTGGCCGAGTTACCGGATGTGGGACCTGGGTATAGTATCGCGTTTCATAAACAGGCAGGGTCTGGGGCTGAGTTGGCAAGCGATGTACAAACGAATCCGAAGTTCTACCAGTTTGCCGATGACGCTGCACCTCTAGGAACAATGTTAGACACAGCATCAATTCGACAACCAAGTGGCGGGAAAGTCCATATTAAGGCTTACTACTCCGCGAGTAGTGTCCAGGTATTCAAAGAAACGTACTCAAATATCGGAGTTTTTAACCCCCGGGCAAGATTCACCGTCGACGGAAGTGACACAGATTTCACGTCGAAGATTGTTGTATCCGAGTCGATCGAAGGAGGTAACTGGACCGTCACACCGAATCCTTATATTGCGACTAACGCCACGTTCTCAGTGTTGGTGCACCCGCTGACCAGAGGTTACAATGTTACAGTGTTTATATTATATACACTGGGGGAGAATCATACCTATTTTGAAACCCGCGTCGAGACTGAAGCCACCATCGAACATGCTTATAATCAACGTGGTTTTAAAGCATTGTCGTTAACTTACAGTAATGCGCTGTCATCGGTCGAGTTTAGTTGCCAAGTCTATGTCCAGGATAAAGTCGACTACTTGGATCTTGTCGACCCAATCGCGGTGGTGCCCACGGGAAACGAAAGCGAAATTGTCTGGTATCTACTACAGGGTAGCGACCTAACATTTGAATTTGATTTAGGTGATGGTACATTTTATAGCAATGGTACTTTTGATATTGACGGAATTCTCATAGTCTACGCAAATCAATTGTACTATGCCCCTGGGGAATATGATGTGAATATCACAGTGTATAATGAAGTTAGTAAGCTGACCTTGACAGCGGTCGCCGCTGTGGAAGACCCTATAATCAACATGACCACAGAAGTTGTTCACGTCGCCCGTGATATTGAAGTCAATGAAACCATCCAGTTCAATGTGACCATACTCAATGGTACTAGCCCTTATTACCGCGTTGTATTTGGTGATGGCACTGATGATGTTGGATTGAACAGTTTGGTCAATCATTCGTATTCTTGGTGGCAGGTATTCGAAACGAATGTCACGGCATGGAACAATGTTAGCCAATCGACATGTCTTATCAATGTCACAGTTCATAAACCAGTCCGACCTTTGATAAACTTCACCATTACAGTCGAGCCAACGAACTTGACCGATCCTGTGGCGTTCATGTTGAACATAAGCGACGGTACGGATTACAACTGTACCTGGGACTTCGGTGACGGTTCCACGGGCGAGAACGATTATGACGATCTCGGGAAGTATCTGTACCACACTTACGCCGACATCGGTGTTTACGTTGTGTTCATGAACTGTTCAAATCGTCTATACACGGCAAATTACACAACAGTTGCCATCGCTCAAAGACCCATCCTTGGGTTCCAGTTTCCAGAACTCAAACCGATCAAGCATACTGACAATGCAGATTTTTCCTGGTCATGTTTGAGTGGAACAAATGCCACATACAATATCACCTTTGAAGATATGTACCTAGATGATATTCCAGAATTGTTGCAAAATGATGATGTGACCCTTTCAGTTGACCGATTGACCGGTTCCTATTCTATCCCTGCTTCAGACTCCGCTACTCATCAATACGGTGTATATATAATGGAAATCACAGTTTGGAACCTTGTCACACCGCCTCAAACAATCCGTCACGAATTGATTATTGACAAGCCAATAGAAAACGCTGATTTAACCTCCATGGAAACGCACTGGGAGGTCAACACCACCGTCACGGTCACAACAGCCATGAGCCTGGGAACTAATGTCACTTTGGTATTTGATTTTGGGGATGGCAACACATACGAGGAATTCGTTATGGGCGAGTTTCCCGCTGATGGTGTAGACACTGACCATACATTCCTGACGGATGGTGACTTCACTGTCACCCTATTGGTCAAGAATAGTGTTAGTAATATCACTCTCGAATTGCTACTACATTTGGAGTACGTCCCTGACTTATCGTTAGAAAGCAATAGCCCGCAAATTCATCCTTCGCCCTCAACGGTCAATTTTACCCTGGTTGTTAACCCTGGAAAAGAGCCACCCACCAACGCAACTGCAATATGGAATTTTGGAGACGGCACCCCCCTGATTATCAAGCCTTTTGATTACCATGACACTCATGTTTACGCAGAGCCGGGGTGGTATATTGTCGTGGTCACCGTTTATAACGCTATCAGTAGTACGAATATTACAGGTTTGTGTTGTTGCGTTGTTTTGTGTTGTGTTGTGTCGTGTAGTGTTGTATTGCCCAAATACACTGTACTGCACTGCCAGTGTACATTGCAGTACAGTATAGTATCAGCGCATCGCAGCGTAGTACAGTATACAGTGCATTACATTACAGTAATAATGTACTGTAGTGCAGTACAGTGCTGTGCTGTATGTACATGTACTTAAAGGATTAGTGTCAGGGTCATGCATTGCGGGCTTTTGTTATTGTTTACATTTTACTTAAATACAACAATTAGCGACAAAAATACCTTGTTTGGTACATTTCTGGTACAAAACAAACAAAAAAGAGCAAGTATTATAAAAGGATGGTTTAAATATATGAAGGATTGTAAAAACTTTCCAGATCATCTAATCCATTCGTCCCGAAAAATGGCCGCCAGCAGGAGTTTGAGCCCGCGAATTCCCGGTGTGACACTAATCCTTTAATTGTAAATAATTCTTTTCCCATAGGTTATGCTGATGTCCAGCGAGTTATAGTAATCCCAGAAGTTTGGCCGGTGAATACCGCTGGGGATAAAGGTGACGGTGGTGCTGGCTCAGGTCCAGGTGGAATGACCTTCCCAGAAGACTACCCAGTGCGATTCATGACCATAGTCGCAGACGGCACAAATGTGACCTATAGCCTAGACTACGGGGATGGGTCAGTGGATTCTACAAATGAAACATTTTTGGAACATCAGTTCAGTTCGCCTGGCACTCATGTAATAAACGTGCATGTCCACAACTCTGTCAGCGAATTCACATTTACTATAGCTATTGTATTAGAAGCTGTTGTTAAAGATATTACAATCGAAAATGATTCGCCAACCGTTTATGGGACACCAATGAAATTTACGGTAAACATCGGTCAAATTGGGAATGAGTCATGTTTCTACCTCAAGATGAAGAACGATTCTTTTATAACATACAAGCCAGCACTAACCACCACATGTACAAAGCCAGGATTCTCGACCGACGTTCGCCCGTTTAGTGGAAACAGTTTTACATTTGAGTATATCTATCACACGGCGACAGAGTATATTGTTACAATCGAAGGACAGAACGCCGCTTCGACAGTGCCCGTAGATTGTCGTGCTACAGTCGTTTTAAAACCGTGTTACTATCCGAAAGCGATCGTGATTGAAGTCGGAAAAAACGTGAGCACGGCACGACAGTTTATAAAGTCTCGTGATACCGTTGTACCTACGGAGAATGTGATCGATTGCGAAGCTGCTGTGTACAGGTAGGTTGTTTGTTTTGCATGCGTAAGAACCATCATCACCACCACCACCATCATCATCACCTCATCAATACCCTCATCACCCTCATCATCACCAACATCATTGCTATCATCACCTCCACCATCATTGCTATCATCACCACCACCATCATCACCACCACCCTCATCACCTCCACCATCATTGCTACCACCACCATCATCACGACCACCATCATCACCTCCACCATCATTGCTATCATCACCACCACCATCATCACCACCACCCTCATCACCTCCACCATCATTGCTATCATCACAACCACCATCATCACCACCACCATCATCACCACCACCATCATCACCTCCACCATCATTGCTATTGTAGTGCCGGTCAGAGAACAATTGGGACAAATGACTATTATGTGTGTTATGTGTGTATTGTGTGTTACTATGTAAATTTGTAAATAGAACAATAAAACTATATAGGCGTGAAAACTAATTAGGTTATGTAAATTGACAGTGTGTATAAAAGGACAATTTTAATACGATTTGGTGTGATTTCTTTAGTAAATAAAGCGTGTTTGTACGAAGTTGTTTTACTTTTCTGTGGCGGTTTTTTTTCGACACGATCTCGCTTAATCTGGCACAACATTGGTGGCAGCGGTGGGATATTTCATGCCTTTAGAGAAGGTATGCCAATGACAACGAGATCGGCAGCGAGATTAAACAGTGAGGAAACCAACGAAGACGACATGGATGACCGCGGAGAAGAAAATACACGTATCACGGGCAGTGATGAGAATTTTGTTGAGTTATTTTCGATGATGAAGCAGCAAACTGAGCTTATAATGGAGCACAAAGTGGCCCAAACAAAGCAAATGAACGAAATACAGCGTTTGATTGGTGATATTGACGGGAAAATGGAAGGAATTAGCAAGCGACAAGACCGGCTAGAAAGGAGACTAGACAGAGTCGAGACAGACCTTGCGTACGTGAGTGGTGAAGTCGAAAAGTCTGGGGAAAGTCAACGAAACACTATGGCTGTGAGTGTTGAATGTTTCGAAGCAAGGCTTGACGTAGTGGAGAATCGCGTAGACAGGTTCGGCGAGGGCATAGACACAATCCAAAAGGAACTCGTGCCGAAGTTAAAAGAAAGCGTTCTCGAAGAACTTTTAGCCGAAATTAACTTGAAAGAAACGAGGAAACAAAATTTAGAAATGCTAAATCGGGATGTGAAAAATTCTCCGCAAGGTATCGAGAACATTCGTGCCAACAAAATTGCGACTCCCGTTTTTCCATCACCCAGAAGGCGATATACCCCATCCACGTTAAAACCCGAGGATAGTGGTTGTGTTACCTCGACGAATGTTCGCGTCAGAGATGCTGAGGCACCCAACAAGCTTTTACAGAAACCAACGACCTTCGATGGCACAACATTATGGGAATCCTACTACGCGCAGTTTGAGATAGTGGCGCAATTAAACAAGTGGAATGATTTTCAAAAAGCAGCCTATCTTGCTACAAGTTTGAAGGGACCTGCTTTGGCGGTGCTGGGTAACTTGGCTCCTGAAGAACGTCAGAATCTCGATGTTTTAGTGGTGGCGTTGAAGAATCGATTTGGAACAAGTCATCAAACGGAACTATCACGAATGAAATTCAAAAACCGCATCAAGCAGAAAGATGAGTCATTGCCTGAAATGGCCGAGGATATCGAACGGTTATGTCGACTCGCTTATCCAGACGCCCCTCCTACGCTACGTGATGTACTCGCGCGGGACCAGTTCGTTGATGCGTTGACTGATGAAGATACCCGATTGCGTATTAAGCAAGAAAGACCCAAGTCACTGCGAAAAGCCTTGGAAGCTGGTCTTGAGTTGGAGTCGTTTCAGATAGCTGCTCGACAGCGTCTCAAAGTGTCACGAGAAACAGAGTTACTTCGTGCAGCTAGACCAAGTGGTACAGAGCAGAAGGAGCAAAGAAAGTACAACCAACTCGAGGAGGGAAAGTTGGAGATGACGAAGATACTCGAACGTCTGGAAAGGTCGATGAAGCTTTGTCTTGACGGTGTTTTGGCAGCGGTAAAGGTACAACGAAGGTCGCCGAAAGAGCCTGGTTGCTGGAATTGTGGTGATTTGAATCATATTAGAAGAAACTGTCCAAAATCACGCAATGATGACGAAGAATCGGATGATCAGGGAAACGGGAAGTAGCTGGTCCTACGGGGCGAGTGCCAGCTCAACCGAATGCTCCAACCAAAATCTTAAAAACAGGAATGATGCAAGGAATAGCGGACAGTTTGATCATATCTGGCAGTATCGAAGGTGTGAATTGTGACATGGTGATAGATACGGGATCTAACATTACAATTTTGAGACCGGACGTATTGGGGCGAGTTTCGAAAGACGTAGACATTGATGTACAGCCAGTAGACAGTTTATTACGGACAGTAACCGGTGAAACAACACCAGTACAAAGTCGTGGTAAGCTCGCTTTTCAAGTTGGAAATTTGAAAGTCGTACATGATGTATGGATTGCAGATGTCGAGAACGAGTGTATTTTGGGACTAGACTTTCTGATTTCGAATGACTGTGTTGTTGATGTACAAGAATCCTGTTTGCGTATTGGCCCGGAAGAAATTCGATTCAAGGGGATGACAGCCACAAAGAAATCAGTTTGTCGCAGAGTGATGGTTGCTGAAACATGGTTGGTTCCACCGAAGAGCGAAGCGATAATTCCAGGAATGCTGGACGGTGATGGTAGTTCTGAAGAAGGTTGGGGAGAAATCAACCCTAGCAAGGAACCAGGATTGTCCAGTGATATTCTCGTAGCAAGGACGGTTGTAGATATTCGTAAGCCCATATTTGCTGTAAGAGTGTTAAACATGTCGGATGATGAACGAATAGTCCGTGAAGGTACAGATGTTGCTAGTTGTGAAATCATCGACAGTGTGACCGTGGTGGGGAAGACTGAGCCTGGAAGTCGTGAAGCGAGTGATGAGTTACCTGAAGTGGTAAAGAAGCTTTATGACCGTAGTTCCGGAGGTTTGGACGATTCACAAAAGAGTCAGTTGTATTCGTTGCTGGTGGAATTTAAAGATGTGTTTTCAGAAAGTTCAGGTGACATAGGGAGAACATCTTTAACTTCACACAAGATTGACACTGGTAACCAAAAACCGATCAAACAACAACCGCGGCGTCTACCACTGGCGAAGGTGGACATTGCACAAGAGGCGATTAAAGGAATGCATGAGCAAGGAATTATCGAGCCTTCAAGCAGCCCCTGGACAGCGCCTATTGTCTTGGTGAAGAAGAAGGACGGCACAAACAGGTTCTGCGTTGATTACAGAAAGTTGAATGATGTGACGAAGAAAGATTCCTACCCGCTCCCTCGAATCGATACGACACTTGACGCGTTAGCTGGCTCGAAGTGGTTTTCAACTCTGGACATGAAGAGTGGTTATTGGCAGGTGGACTTGGAACAATGTGACAAAGAAAAAACGGCGTTCTCGACAGGCTACGGGTTGTGGCAGTTCACCGTTATGCCATTTGGGTTATGCAACGCCCCCGCTACATTCGAAAGGTTGATGGAGTTAGTTTTGGCTGGTCTGCCTTGGAGCGTGTGTCTTCTCTACTTAGACGACATCTTGGTACATGGAAAGACGTTCGAAGAAGAGATACTTAATCTACGCGAAGTCTTTGGTCGTTTTCGAGCAGCCAACCTCAAACTGAATCCGAAGAAGTGCGAGCTGTTCAGACAGAAAGTGCTCTATCTGGGACATATTGTGACCCAAGAAGGAATTTCAACGGAACCAAGCAAAGTTGAAGCTGTGACTACGTGGCCAAGACCTACGAACAAGCGAGATTTAAGAGGATTTCTAGGACTTTGCTCGTACTATCGCAAGTTCATTAAGTCATTTGCCGACATTGCAAGCCCATTGCATAAACTCACCGAGAAAGAAACTGTGTTTGATTGGTCTGAACAATGTGAGGAAGCGTTTGGAGAATTGAAGCGTCTTTTAACGGCAGCCCCAGTGTTGGCCTACCCAATTGCGTCAGGGAGATTTACGATAGACACGGATGCGAGCGAGAGAGGAATTGGCGCTGTCTTATCTCAAGAACAAAACGGAATAGAAAGAGTTGTCGCGTACTTTAGTCGAAGTCTGAGCAGAAGAGAACGAAATTACTGTGTGACGCGAAAAGAGTTACTGGCAGTGGTCAAAGCAACAGAAAAGTTTCATTATTATCTCTATGGTCAACGATTCGTGGTGAGAACTGATCATGCTTCATTAAAGTGGTTGTTCAATTTCAGGCAGCCAGAAGGACAGATTGCTCGTTGGTTGCAGAAGTTACAAGAATATGACTTTGAGATCGTGCATCGTGCAGGAAGAAGTCATGTCAATGCAGATGCTTTGTCACGACGACCATGTTATGAGTCAGCATGCAAGTTCTGTTCGGCTTTAGAAGATAAAGATAATGAAAACGAAGCGATAAGTGAGGAAGAAGAAAGGGATATGCGCGGAAATGGAATTTCAAGAGGGGCGACCATAAACCAAGACGAACTGTTGTTTCAAATTTGGACAAAGGAAGAGCTCAGGACGAAGCAAGTGGAAGATCCAGATATTAGACATGTGATGGAATGGAAGATTAACGGAAGACCAGAATGGAAAGACATTTCGGCTATGAGTCCAGTTACAAAATCATATTGGGCGCAGTGGGCATCAATTGATGTGGTGGATGGAATCCTTTATCGACGTTGGGAGGATGCAAGTGGACGTGAAGTGAAGTATCTCTATTTAACACCAAAGGCGATTCAAGATGATGTTTTGCGAAATCTACATGACTCTCCAACTGCGGGACACTTCGGCGTGAAAGAAAACGTTAGCTCGCGTTCGACAACGTTTCTATTGGATAAACCTAAGATGGTCAGTGGAGAACTGGTGCAGAAAATGTGAGAAATGTGCGTCGCGTAAAGGATATCCTAGAAGAGCCAAAGCTCCGTTGAAATTGTACACCGTTGGTTCGCCGATGGAGAGGATAGCTATCGACGTGTTGGGACCGCTTCCAAAAACAGATTCGGGAAACCAATATATACTCATTGCTCAAGATTACTTCACGAAGTGGCCGGAAGCCTTTGCTCTTCCAGATCAACAAGCAGTTACAGTCGCAGAAGTGTTGGTCAACCAGTTCTTCACTCGGTTTGGGATCCCTATGGAGTTACATTCTGATCAAGGGAGGAATTTCGAATCTGAAACTTTTCGAGAAGTTTGTCGGTTACTTGGAATTAATAAAACGAGAACAACTCCTTACCATCCTCAGTCGGACGGAATGGTGGAACGTTTTAACAAGACAATAGAAGATGGATTGGCGATGTTTGTGAATGCTCATCAAACCGACTGGGACATGCATATTCCTCTGTTGTTAATGGCATATCGTAGTGCAGAACACGTAGCAACGAAGATTAGTCCATCCCGGATGATGCTTGGTAGAGAGATGAAATTGCCTATTGATGTTTGGGCAGGACGACCGGAAGGTGGTGAGATTCCACGAAGCAGCCCGATGTACGCGCAGAAGTTACAAGAAAAGATGGACGAAGTGCATATGTTTGCAAGAGATAACTTAAAAATCAGTTCTGGTGCGATGAAGCAACATTATGACGTGAAGGCTATGGCAGTGAAATACGAAGTTGGCACGGGTGTTTGGCTTCATAACCCACAACGGAAAAAGGGAAGATCACCAAAGTTGAGCAGAAATTGGGAGGGCCCTTACGTTGTGGTGAAGCAAATAAATGACGTTGTCGTTCGAATAAAGAAGGGGCCCCAGGCAAAGCCCAAAGTCGTGCACATCAATCGACTGAAACCTTACACAGGTGGAGAGTATTTTGGTTGGTTCGCAGAGAAAGGAAGCAATGGTTCCGGAACTTCAAGGAACTTAGATATCGGCAAGTCGACTTTACCTGGGGTGAGGACAACATCAAAGAAAGAGAGTAATGGTAAAAACACAAACAGTAGGACCACGGTTGAATCGTTGCGTCGCGGTATACGAACTAGGAAACAACCACAAAGATATACACCGTAAGATTTTGGGTTGAAATTGTTCAACGGAGACCGATGAACTGGGGAGAGGGCAATGTAGTGCCGGTCAGAGAACAATTGGGACAAATGACTATTATGTGTGTTATGTGTGTATTGTGTGTTACTATGTAAATTTGTAAATAAAAGGACAATTTTAATACGATTTGGTGTGATTTCTTTAGTAAATAAAGCGTGTTTGTACGAAGTTGTTTTACTTTGCTGTGGCGGGTTTTTTTCGACACGATCTCGCTTAATCTGGCACAACAGTATGGTTTCGAGTGCAATTTGGAAAAAAAGTATGTATGAGTCAGTTTTTCAAAGACTATCAGAATTTCACGAGTCCGAAGGACGAGTAAACATGAGAGTATGTTTTTTTCGAATTGAACGAGAGACCACACTATCACTTGTTAATAATATAAATGAAAAAATTAACGTCAGCCATTTTTTTTAAAAAAAAGCCAGTAATTTTTTTTGTCTTTCCTAAACGTTTGCTTTTTGTATTATTTCTGTTGGAATTTTTATTGGATATTTTTGTTATTGTTTTATATTTTAAGGCGATCAGAAAGCTTGAATAGTCAATGACATTTGCACTGTATTTCCCTTTTTTATATTTAATGTTTTGGCACTGTTTTTCTGAAATGAAGTCCTACCTGCACATTACATTGACATTGTAAAACAATAGAAACAGGGATACAAACTTTAAATTCACAAAGTTACAACACACAATTACAACACACGATCAATGCTTTCCAAACCATCCTGTACACGTTCCAAAGTTAATATAAACTAGACATCAATCGCCCATACATTGCAGGCCTTTCCAAGTCAAAGACCTGAAAATTGCATTGGTTTGGGAAATGACCAAGTTACAAAAAATATTTATACATACAAATGTATCAACATTTGGTACAGCACAGACACAGTCACAGAATATAGTAAACATCCTAAACGTGCATGCGTTCCTCAACTCTTATGACCAACAACAAGTAATAGAACAAGAACAACGTTTACTACAGGTGGTTTTTCATGTCCATTAAATCAAAGCTCATACTTCGGAAATTTATTGTTGTATAGTTAAATGTACTAAATTTTAAACCATTTATGCCATTTCTTTATAAAATAATCGTGTCGCTATGGCAACACTTGGGTTAATACGTACCACAAGCTTGCATTCAGTATTGGCCAAATACTAACACTTCATGTTTTGAATCAATGTTTGGGAAATATAGGCAAGGGTTGATGCATTCATGTATTTCTAGTATATAAAACACAAACGGCAATTTTATCTAAGAAAAGTATTATACAGAATTAGGGAGGATCTGGTCGTGATAAGGACCTCCACCTTGGAGAAAGAGGATTGATGTTTATTTCATGTATTTTTGTTTTAAGCAACTATGAATAACGGGCATATGATATTCGATAGGGAAAAGGTGTGTTGTAAAAACAAAAGTATACTTATATCTTTCCAGAGCTTAGTGCGGTAGGCTACTGCACTCACTAAAAGTTATTGTTCTAACTATTCCGTTCTAATATTTCTGTTTGATATTTGAAATAATTACAATACTTTTCGTAATTCGATCCTGTTGCTCATTGTACTTTACCTATTTCTGGTAGAAAATTATGGTGACGATGCTCTGGGGACGATATTTACCATTATCTTCTTGTATTAGTAAACTCCGTTTGCTTGTATAGGTCCCTTGGCATTAAATTTTCCTGGTAATGATATAATCCAACATGGCATATCCAAAGGATCTTCTCAGGCATTGGAATCTATCACTGCGTGTTTTTGGATGTCTGCGCCTGAAGCGTATGTCAAGGAACACGAGGCCACTCTGTTATCTTATGCTACGGTCGAAGGGGCAAACGATTTTCTGATGTCGTTTGAACCACTGCTGAACTTTCGGATAAAAAATAAACTCTACAAGTAGGACATTAAATCAATATTGTTTCTTTTTAAATGTGTCAGTGATTAAAGGGGGGAGGGATAAGTCCTTTCTGCGCATGTGTCCGGCGTTTGTTTATGCTTTGATACATTACACATGTTATAACATGAAGTATTGGTATTTACAACAATATTTTATCAAACATGGCGATTGAAAATATGAGCGAAACTTTATATAGTTCACTTGTTTGTGTGGTGGTGCCTGCTTTTTATGAGAAATATAGAAACTTTTGACTTGTACAAGTTTGAATAATTTTCCTTTTGAACCGCATCGCGTGATAAACACGCCGAATCATGCATGAAGTATGATCAACCGACGAATATGAATTGCTCAATGCTCGATTGCTCTTTACTCATCAACAAGCTGACAATATTGAGTACAAAACAGTAAGTTTAATGGTTTATATGTTGTTTGTTGTTGATAAATTGTAGTCTGCATGTTTTTGCATGGATTAACCATATATGAGAGCTTATCTTTCGTAAATACGGCACAAAATATATACCGCATTTGAATTGTTAGTAGATATATTATCTCCTATAATTTATAAAATTGATATACGAGCTGGACAATATTTTAAACCAACTGCATGTCCTGGTTATATATAGCTAAATTCTTAAAGCATATATAATTATTTTATTTGCAAAGATTGAAATGGTGAACAAAACAAGTTTTGACTTTTTTCCCCATTGCTAGCAGCAGCCTTGTCTTTGCCATTTCTCATGCTATTGTAAATTATGCAATTAACCTGAAAGTTATATTGCTTCCATGCATTAGGACACTTTCTCAAACATCATAAAGGCAGATTGCTATTGGGACAAGCAGTTAATAGCATGAAGCATGAAGATCTCTGAAAGAGGCAAACCTATAGTCTGACTGCATTCTTTAATTTTGAGCCTTTCTATGCATGACAGGATTTAGTGTAAGATGTAAATGTTCAAGACTATCTGTGGAGAAAACATCGAATGATAAAGCTAATGGTGAAATTCAAACGGGTTGCTGACTGTAATGAGTGCCGCTGAGAGGGGGGGGGCATTTTGGGCTTGGGAGTGATGGGACCCCAGATTAATGGGACCTCAGATTAAAGGGACCCCCCCCCCAAAGTCCCTTAAATTTTCTTGATACAAGATTGCTTAACCAATAATATAAATCCTAGCTGTGTCAGTGCTGGATAAATGATAATATGCAATAAAGTGCAATATATTATAAAACACTGCTTCTCCTGTTTTACAATTATGACATAGGGACCCGTGGGAAAGTTTTTCCCTGTACCCACACAACCTCTCGGTGTCCCGGGCTGTTACCACCACCAAGTTCAACAATCAGATAGAAATCTTCATAGCTGGGGCTACTGTGTACATTTTGTACCCATACCAACACAAGAAGGAATAAGTGTTTTTCTAAATGAAGGTGATATTGCATAATTATTAAGAGGACAAGACTGAACTCTATCAAGAACTCCCATCAAGAACACTGTAATTCAAACAAAATGTTTTTGGCACAAATGTTCTGAAACAATAATTGCCAGGCATTATCGAGAAGATGTTCTTGTTTTAAATAACAACATAAACATGCATGCAAAACATCTGACATGCAGCATACAAACAGGATGCTATATGACAATGTCATAGCTACTGTGCCTTACCATAAATCCTCTAGCTATTGATATGGGGGGGGGGGGTGTAATACATTTCAGTTTTAGAAAGGTGGGTGAGGCCGTGGGGACTTACATCTATTTTAGAGGGGGGAAAATAGGAGATTTATGGAAGATGGAATAATTGAAGGTTGTTGCCTAGTCAACATTTGATTTCACTATTGTATGCTGGATACACTTCTTACTAGAATATCATGGTATAAAATAATATAATGTACAATGTCAGCTAGTGTTAATAATTTAATTAATGGCAGTCCTGAGTTGTCAGATCTCAAGACATATATTCCAAGACAAATTCCAATATATCACCAGACAAATCTTGTGATATTGAAGCTCATTTTCAACTCCAGAATGCTAAAAGATACTACCATGCATTGCTTTTAATAAAAATAATATAGTAACTATATAGATTATACAGTTGTCATCTTTATTACTTCCTGAGGTGTAACTTCATGTACTGTGGGTGTATATCACAAAATCGTAAGAGTTCCAAGGCAACTCAACTGTCATGATAATGACTATACCTCATGCTACTATGTTTCAGCCTACAGTATGAAAGTTTTCCAATACTAAAATGAAACTTTGCATGCATATACAAAAATTTATTAGCTTGAAAGTTCGATAATTTTATACAACAATCATGCTATGTGAAATGTTATAAAGATTTATATTCAGATATCTGATTATAGATTACAAACAATTGTATATAGTAAAATAAATCTAGAAATAAAAATAAAGTTATGAGGCCGTCTTGAATAATAGCGCATCAATAAAAATATTAACAGTAAAATTGTAGTTATGGTTTCAAATTTCTTGACTTTTTTTGCCTGGGAGGAATATTCGATCAGATCTGATCAATATATATTAAATACATAGTCAGCATGATCCAATGCAATAGAATCCCAGCATAGAATTTTTGACCAAAATCACTATTTAACAACAGTTAAAACCCAAATATAAACAAAACCTTTACCTGAATATAAAAGACATCGTAGCAGACAACAGCACATGTCGATTTGATCACAGCGTGCTGCACTGAATATCGCACAAACGCACTTTTAGGGCAGCTTTGTTAGCGTAATATTCTTTCCATGTTTTCTTGTTGTTTTATATGCTTCAATAATTTACTGATAGGTGGATTGGGTTTCATAAAAGTCGCAAATTTGTTGAAACCTTTTCGAATTCTATATAAATATTTTCCATTCACTCCTCATCACCTCATATGGAATATAAACATCGCGCGTGCATATCGCCAGTTATAGGACAGGAAACGAGAGGTTTATTTCCGGTGGAGTCCCCTGTAAACAAACGCCGGGCATATGCGCAGAAGGGACTTATCCCCCTCTTTAACTAATGAGATCACACCACCATGTACGCATCTGTAAGACGAACCCAGTGATGTTATCTTATGTTGCCAAAGAGTGAACATTGGTTAAGAATTTCTCCATTACCTTCGACGAAACACCTGCGGCTCTAGGGTTATTTCTTTATGTATGATGTAAACATACAATATTAATTAAGATGTGAATAATATTACCTACTAAAATTGTCTAACGGTAAAGCTGGACATGCGGTTACATCATGTCTACGTCAATACAATCGAATCTTGAATTAAAATCAATTACAACATCGCTTAAATCTGGCAATTGCAAATAGCATTAATGATAGTTGAGATAAACGAAATGATGGATTACTGCAAACAGAATTACCCTTTCTCACGGCGAAGGTCTAAATCCGCCATTTTTGGTACTATTTTATAAACAACGTGAAAAATCAGGGCAATGTGAAAATATATTTCAAATATTTAACGGTAAATTGATTTATAATGATTATACTTATAATTATAATTATAGAAAGTCTCATTTTCACCGCCTACTATAATCCTTGTTCTACAAATGGTCGCAACTCAAAGACGACGGCGTGAGAAAGGCTAATTGATCAGGCTTTGCATCTCATTAGCGACCGAGAACATGCCAAATTCAATTGCGTCCTGGAACAAAAAAAACCGTTGGTAATGGCACGCTTAATCCACGTTTTGTCGCCCTATTTCCCCCTCTCCAGCGGATGTTAACAAATATGTGAATATCCGTATATAAGCGCCTTCGTCAGCAAAAAATAAAGAAGATCAGGTCGAACAGAAACGTGTAAGCCTTTCCCCATTGTGTGATTCAGAGTCTCTTTATTGTTAATAGAACTGGCTTGTTGCTTGCTGACGAACATCTTCATCACGTGTGTTTCTCATGGGAGTCATCAAGCGGCGACTCCAAAGTGTACAAGGATGGTTCTTTGGTTAAAACGATGGTTGACGTCCAAACTGGAACACAAATCAAAGGTGGTGGAATATGGGTGATTGGTCAAGACCAGGATTCTTTGGGAGGTGGTTTCGAAGCCGTAAATTCCTTCAAGGGTATCTTGACCGAAGTCAATATTTGGAACAGAACTCTTGGTTCTGATGAGATAAAAAGTTTTGCAAGCGATTGTGATTCCTTGGTGCAAGGAAACTACAAGGCTTACAGCGATTTTGATATCTCGAGTGTTACTGAATTGATTAAACCATCATGCTGTCCCTTGGCTCCACTTCCTCAGGCATGATATTTGTTTGCTTGAACTGCTTTATTCATTATAAACGCTTGCTTGTATCTGTAGAAAGATTTCCTAGTATGAAATCATGTCAATTTGCTGCTTAATAAATAAATTGAAACTGCTTTACTTTTAAATGCTTTTTCTTGTTGAATATAACAAGACGCTCTGCGGAGCGTTAACTCGCTGGGGATATACTAGACTTGGTTAGGGCCTGAACTTCAGGTTAGTTGAAGTCCGTCTCTCATATTCTAAAAGAAATTAATTGGGCAGAACAGGAATATATGAATATCTGCACCCCAATTATCGATCTTATCAAGGATAAGTTATCAAGGATTAAACATACTGCATTAATAATTTTGAGCGACTTGAAAAACAATACAATTATTTTGCTTGGCTTTCAACTGACAAAGGCCATATTCGCTAGAATAGTGTTATTTAGTAATACTGTACATTTGACATCCGTAATTAGTAGAATTTCTAACGCTGAATCGAACGGTGGTATTTTTATCCTCAATACGTACTGCGAGCGATTTATCAACAATACAATTTCGCTTGATTTTCAAAGGCTATAAATCGCTAGAATACTGGTGTTTAGTAATACATTTGACATCCGTAAGTACAATTTCTTACGCTGAATCGTATGGAACGGTGTCGCTTTCTTCTCAAAATATATTAAAGCAGCGCAGCCAAACGTAACTTGCGATTTGCGAAGGTTGCTGTTTCCATGTCGAAATTTCTTGTAAAATTGTTCAATTTTCCCGAATTTTCCTCAAAATGCAGGGTTATTTATGGATAATGTGGGTAAAAGTTAGCAGGAGCAGCAGGAGCTTTATGGATAATTTGGGTAAAAATTAGTTAGCTCATTAATATTCTATTTTGTGGCTATCGATCTTCGACCTTCGATCCACTATCGGCGAAAAATGCGAGCCGAAACCTATACTCGTCTGGGGCACAGTGCCCCAGCGAGTAATAAGTAGTTGACTATCACCAAGTAGTTGAATATAATGAATATAATTTGATTTAACAAACAAACAAGATTGGTTACTAATATTAGTACAGAACGTGCAAAAATACAATATTGGTGTGACTGGGGAGAGAAACAGGACTTGCGTCCCAATTGACACCTAACATACTCCTAATAAATGACTTTACTTTTTCAGTCAGAATGAAGCAACCTGATTGGCTGAGGAGCCTTTCAGAGCGGGCTGTTTTTTTGCATCCGATCCGCTCTGAAACGCAACTGCCCGCTGTGAAATGTAACTGCTCGTTCTGGTTTTCGCGACAAAAAAATGAGAAGTGAAACAATTTTTAAACTAAAAATCTGCCACAAAGCGTTTGAAAAACGTAGCCTAACGATAGTCCGAATACGAAAATGAGTTGCATTAAGTACTAAAGACTTCACACTAAGCACGATGTACACCAGAATTGACAATATTTGGAGACAGTGCGATTGAAAGTCATTTGACATGTATAAAACTTATGCCGAGTGCTCATGCATTTAAAATTGTGTATACAAGGTAAAGACCAAAAAGCCTAATTCTAAATACATACATGTGAGAAAGTATGAAAGTTATGACCCGATATGTTTTAAAAGAGAAGTCGTAAAGGAATACCGAATCGTTTTCCGTGCACTGTAGCGTGATCCATGCACGCGGGATGTTGCGAGACTTTCGGAAAGCGTAAAAAACACGAGCCGTAGGCGAGTGTATTTTTACGCTTTCCGAAAGTCGAGCAACATCCCAAGTGCATGGATCATGCTATCCTGCACGGAAAAACCATTTGGTAATTGTTTTATAAAATTATTACATTGAAACGACGCTTAACTTAATTAAAATTACTGATGAAATGTGCAGTTCTCACAACATTCGTGAATTAACCAATCAGAGAATCGCTACTCCACGCTATTGAAAACAACAACATATGTGAATAGAATTTGATCGCAAATTCGCGAAAATATATAGCGAAAATACAGGGACTTTTTCGATAAAATATACGAAATTTGAAATGAAAAACCCGCTAAACAGAGATCCAAAGTAGTTTTCAAGATTCTCGACCTGAATATATGAAGATTGCGAAGCGTTTGATCAACTTTGAAGCGAGAGATGTTGTACTTGCATGCCATGGTCTGATGAATTTCAACGCTACGCGTTGCTACTTGCTGAATAGCAATGTATTGATCAGAAATTTATTCATACAACTAAACCAACGTCTCAATAATTGGAAACTTACTTCAAAGTCGAAAGGTATCGTACAATGAAACTTTTATTACAAATAAGCGAGTATATTTGTAAAATTATGTCCAAGAATTTCTGTTCAGAATTTCCCGTGCAGGATTGTCTGATCCTGCACGGCTGTTGACCAATCAAATCGCGTGTTTCACTGTATAGTTATTATATAACACAACTTCCTCTACATGAGATATACTCAACCCATGATGTAAACTCAAAGCTTGACTTGTTGAATGAATTATTTTTGAACATTCTAAACAGACATGCACCAATGCGGTATATAAAAATCAATGGAAGACCGCACAAGTTTATCGGTAAAGAAATAAAGCAATTAAGGAAAGTCAGAGACCGACGTTTAAAATCTTTTCGTAAGTCAAAGAATTCAGAAGATTGGAACAGTTTTAAGCAACTTAGAAATGCTGTCAAATATCTATATGCAAAGCTGAATCTAAGTACATCTGCAGTGAAATGAGAAAAATAAAGATAATTCGAAAACAATGTGGAAAGTTATTAGAGGGTGCCTTCCTAGTAAAGAAATTACAGAACCCAACTACCGTAAGGACCCTGAATTAGCAGCTGAGGAATTTAATAATCTCTTCATCTCAGTAAGGACAACTACAGCTGATAAAGTTAAAGAACTAGCTGATCCAAACAATATTTTAATAACACCCCCATCACCAAGACGAACACAGGTATCGGATGTTGAGAGATTTAAATTTAGCTTAGTTACGCGCGAAGAAGTACGTCAAATAATTATAAGATCTCTGTCTCACAAAGCTCCTGGTCCCAACAAAGTGAGTGTGGAATGTTTCAAAGATACCCTAGAAATAATTATAGATCCTCTAACTGATATCATAAATTGTTCTTTGATGACGTCTACGTATCCGCTGAGTTGGCGGAGTTTATACCTTTGCAGAAAGACGATGATCCAGATAATGCCCCGAACAATCGACGTGTATCATTAGTTTCGAGTTTTTCAAAAATTTACGATAAAATAGCATTAAATCAATTTACAGATTATTTGATGTAACATAATTTACTATCTAAACATCAAAGTGGTAATCGTAAGTTCCACTATACCGAAACGCTCAACAGCGCAGTCAGTAACGGATATTTTATTGGAGGCAATAGATAAGAAGCAACTATCGATTGTTATATTTTTGGACCTATCAAAAGCTTTTGATAGTGTTCAACATGATATCTTGTTAAAAAAATAATAGACTTAGGAGTAACATCAGGGGGAACAACAATGAAAGACATCAGTTTCCTTAATATCTTGTTAAAAATATCAGTTGTTAAAAAATATAATGGACTTAGGAGTAACATCAGGGGGAACATCAATGAAAGACATCAGTTTCCTAAAGACATCAGTTTCCTTAATAAATTTGGTATAATGGCTTAAATCATTACAAACTATAACTTTTTGCATCGCTATGCAATAAGGAACATAAAAATACTTGGAGTATATTAGTTATGTACTTTTAAAAATATCTTTGGTTTAGTTTAGGCCTACTGCATACTGTGTGTGAGTTTTAAAATATTTGGCCATATTTACATTATTATAATAGGTGAAAAAAGTACTACCTGCATGCATATATATGGTCGGTGTTTAACTAGCTGTATGATTTTACCATAGATATGTTATTTATACACTAGATAGTGTAACTAATTATTTTACCATTCAAAGATTGAAGCTGTGATTGCAGACTCAGGATATTCCCATGAAATGAGAAGATTCGTATGTTTTCTATTTCTTAATTTAAACTCGGAACTTAAATATTAAGGTAAACCTATTCCAAATACGTTTTTAAACAATTCAAATGATAAAAGTTATTGTTGTTCTTGAAGTGTTTATTAGCAAGTGGGAAACACCAACATGGCAGCCATCTATTCAAATTGCATGGGTAGTAACCGCTGGAATATTCTTGGCTTCAATTTTACTATAAGCGATGCGCTATTTAATCTATATAAGGTATCTATGAATTTTACAATGTTGTCTTGCTCGCTTGCACAGAGTTCACTTGCTCCAGCAGAAATTTATATCCACAAACTGATTAAAGAGTGTCGAAACGTTGAATCAAATTGCCTTCTTTATTCGAAGCTATAGCTATTATCATAAACAAGTTTAATTCGTCTCAATGGTAACTTCTGTCAGATAGTGTTGGTGTAAAGTCCCTTCTATATCAATGTAAACAATGGAAAATTTCTAAAAAAAGTGACCGTAAAACTGTAATAAACTGTCTGTAAAAAACTGTCCGCAAAAAAACTGTCAGTCAAAACTGTCGTGCATATGTCCATCTTTGCCAATATATACCAACTAAAACAACTATAATTACGCCGCAACGCGCAGCAACCTAGCTATATAGTTGCACGTGTGACATTTGGGATAGACATTGTTTTCCATGTCCGGTGATTCTCAACTATCATAAATATTTAATAAAGCATCCCTGTAAATCTGTAATATTCGAGCAAGTGAATTTTAATGTTAGCTAACTTATAGTGTTCGATCGATCGTAATATCTCACTTAAACAGTTCCATGCTATACACTTACTCCGAACACTGTACCTCCAATAGAATTCAGTGGTGGCTAAAAAAAATCAAACCAAAACAGGGAGTTCGATTTAACTCTCCACAGATATCTTCTTGGTCATTTGCAATATTTAAAGAACGTGTACCAACCGCCGTGCTTTGCATGCCCTAAGATATTTCAACTATCCTACGGGTATACATGTTCATTTGAACTTATTTATATTGAACTAATAAAGGCCGCACAGCAGTATCTACGCGTACAAGGTTGCCATTAAAAAAGTTCAAAAGCTACTTGTCTAATAGATCACAATATGTATAGGTTATTTTGAGGCAACGAGGAGATATGCGATTTATTCACCGAGGCGCGCAGCACTGAGGTGAGTAAACACATATGGCCTTGTTGCCTCAAAATAACGTACTTATTTTTCACATTGGGAGGTCGCATTAATGAGTGAGAATAGAAATAATTCTTAATGGCATATTGCCTTCGTTATGTTGTTTTTCTCATTTTTTGTGCTGCAAAGACACTCCACCTAACATAAAATTCATAAGCAAAAATCTTATACCGATAACGGAAGTGAAAGATCTTGGCATGTTTCTCGATTCCCTCTTATCTTACAATAAACACATTCAGGCCTTATCGTCTTCTTGTATTTCTAAATTAGACCAAATCGATAGGATGAAACATTTAGCTGAATAGAAGACCCTCGCTATGATTATAGATACATTGGTAATGAGCAAAATCAATTACTGTTCATCCGTAGGGTCTAATACATCAGAAGGTAATATTGACAAAATTCAATACAATTCAAAATTGTGCTGCCAGAATAATATCGGGTGTGCAGAAGTTTGATCATATATCTCCAACACTAAGTCCACTTGGATGGCTACCAATTAAAGAACACTTGTTACACAGAGATATACTATTAATGTTTAAATGTATAAATGGCAAACCTCCTTCATATCTCTGTGATCAATTCAAACAAAGAGATCAAGTTCAGATCAATACAACAAGTAATGAAGATTTAGACATCACAAAGTTTCGGACTTGTACTGGACAAAGAACTTTTAAGTATAGAGGTACAAAATTATGGAACGAACTTTATAAGGAAACAAAATTAATAACTAATCTAAACAGTTTTAAAGTAAAACTTAAGACTCATCTAATGAAGAAACGTTGATAGTGAACTTTTTCATGTTTTAATTAAATCATATAAAGATACCGTTTAATTGTTTTTAACTTTTTTTAAATATAATGATATTATAAATTGGATAGATTTTCGATTAGATAAATTCTTAAATAGTGTGTAGAAATTTTCTTACATTTATACATGTAAATTGTCATTGAAAAACCCATTTGGGAATGTCAATTAAGTATAATGGAAACTTTATTGAAGTTATATACGTATATATACAATTATAAATCTCACTAATTTAGGTAATTTATAATTGGCTACTTGAACCTACTTAATATTTATCTGTTAATAATGAGTATCCTTAAATGTTCAGTAATTCCGGATTTGACCAGTCCTTATCTCTGCAACAAAATATATAATATGTTGTCCTAATCGCGATAGACATAATTTTCCTGATAGCAAAATGTTGGTGTCTTTTATTATTATTATTATTATTATTATTATTAAGTCTTTATTAAACATAGCCACAACAGACGTGTGACTTTACATTTAAAATTCTCATATACAAGGTTCCAAAAAAAAACAAAAAAACTTAATTATTATTATGTATCTAAGTTAATTATTCTTAGGTAGAATTCTTAAAAAGACTAAGACTAAATTATTATTATGTATCTAAGTTAATTATTTTAGCTAAAATTATTAAAAAGACACCTATTTAAAAACGACCGTTTGAATCTTTCAGTTTTAACCTTAGGTAATATGAAATCGTGTTCGCGTTCTCTTAACGGTCTTTGTCTTTTAGGAGGAAGTAGTTCGTATAAAGGGTGGTCTGGGTTGCTACATATTCTTTCAAATAAACTCATGTCTCTTTCTTTAATCACATCAATTATCTGAACACTTTTTGTTGTGTATCCATATTTGTATGCTCGCCTAAGAAATTTATCAATCCGTTCCAGGTACTTCTTTTCAAGTGCAGAACCCCATACTTCGATTCCATAAGAAAATAAAGACATAATAAGTGCGTCGAAGAAAATTGTTAAATTTTTTTTAGAGTAGCCATACGATCTGCATATTCTCAAAATGTGCATTCGACTGCTAGCTTTAGATATCAAATTATTAACTTGAAGGTCCCAACAATTTGGATCATTCTGCAGTGTGGTTCCCAATAGTTTCAGCCAAGTCTTGCGTTTGATACCCGTTATTGGTTCTGGTAAAGGATTTGTTGATTTGCCACTTACAACCATTTCCCATGTTTTATCTAGATTTAATGACATTCTGTTTGTTTCCGTCCATTTTTCAATATTGTCTACCTCAGCTAGTGCGGAGTCATAATTATTTTTCACTGGAGCGCTAACAGTCATATCATCTGCAAATTTGACTAGTATGTTGTTATTTGGATCTTTGACTGTTAGATCATTTATCATTAAGGAAAATAGAAATGGTCCAAGAACTGTGCCTTGCGGTACTCCTTTGTTTATGTCTACATAATTTGTTTCTATTCCGTTTACTATTACTCTTTGTCTCCTATCAGTCAAAAAATTTCTAATCCAATTTATTACATATGGATTAATGTTGGTTTTTCATGGCCAGAAATTCAGGACATGCGCCCGCAATATATCTCAGCGGTTTTTCCTCTGAAAAGTTATTCATAGCTAACAAACGCAAGTTTTAACTAAAAAAATACATTTTGCCTGGTTTTTTGTTTAACTAAAGCAGAAAAATAGATATAATAGGTACTGTCGGCCTTTTACATACCGTTCATTTATTATAATGGGATATAAAGTGATGCGCATGGTAAACGACTCTAATATTTTGTGTATACATCGTTATCCCTCTGTGTAACCCGCACTGGAAGAAAGCCTGGTTCCTAAGCTTCTTGTTGATATCAAACATGGACGACAATTCATTAAACATCGTTCTTCTTGCAATGTTTTACGGTCTACGGACAGGGTATTTATGGGTAAATATCAACATTTTGTCCCGTAAATTGGAACAAGTTAAAAAATTCGTATCACTATGAAATTATGTAGACAAGCAGGGGACAACATATATTTTACGACGCGAAGTCTGCAAATTTCACGGAGGGTTCGAGGGATACATGCGGCCAGAGCAAAATGTACGTTTTCAACGATTTTCTCAAGTTTTATTATACTTTATTATACGCCGATGTACTATGAAGTGAACTTGAATAATGGAACAACTTATAGGTAAGATTTCGATGCGAAACTTTTCTGTTTTATGGTCCAGATATAATTTATAATATTGCGAAGTCTGCAAATGACATAGCTATTATCAAACACGTTTAAATTGAAAAAAACCGCGCCACTCCTAATGATTTATATATAACAAATCCGCCATTTTGTTTGCGAAAGTTCGCACATGCTCAGAATCCATGTCCGCAATTTCTGGCCATGCCTAGCTTCTTGCAAATGATGTTGTGAGAAACGGAATCAAAGGCTTTCTTGAGATCGAATGAAATCACCCTGACATGATCAACATCACCATCCAGCCAATTTAGCCATTTATGGTGACACATAATAAGAGCATCAGTTGCGCTGGTACCTTCCTTATATGCGAATTGATCAGATTTTATTAATTGTTTTAGTTCTGATGAGATCTCTTTTTTAAACACTATTCTTTCGAACAATCTCATTATTACGTTCGTAAGAGATATAGGCCTTAATTGTGTACATTCTATAAGGGGGCTTTCCTTAGGTATTGGATTAAGATTGGCTAATTTCCATAGGAGGGGAACGCGTTGCAAGACCTAGATTATTTAACATATCTAAAAAGGAATGACATTCTTTTGAGAAGACGCCTAAACAACTAATTGACAAATTTACAAATTTTACGGACTTAAATTGTTTCTTTTGCTGTGTAATGAGATCTTCGTATCTTCTTCTTTTCCGATCAACATTTGTTTGTAGATTAGACTCATAACCAACAGAAAGTTCAAGGATATAGAGACAATCCGAGTTGATAGAAAGAAGTAGGTCTGGGCGGAATGTGTCACCAGTTACAATTGATGGGCTTTTATAACCAGGAAGATCGACGAAAAGATTGGAGTTGTTTACAGGTTGTAGCGTTTGTGCTATGAAGTTCAGAACAGAATCATGTCTCCATGTAAATCGTGGGACATACGTTTGACATCCAGCAACTACGTGTAAAAGGGTTTCAGAGTTTAAGCAGAAGGAGCATCAGAGTTGGACAATATTCCCCATTTAGTAAGGTTTTCAAGAGTTGGAAGTGAGTTATTGATGTAACGAATGGTGAAGTTATATATGTTCTTTGGGAGGTTTTGATTGGGATTTAGACCATATGCCGTTTAATTTCGACAGTGAAAACTTAATGACATTTGAGAAGAAGGATATGCCTGCCCATTTGTAGCAATATTCAACATAAAATTATTCATTCAATTTAATCTATTATACATTTAATTAATAAAGTTATATTCTTTCAGTTTAATCTTTTATACACATTCAATTCAATATAATATGTTCATTCAATTTAATCTATTATACATTTAATAAAGTTATATTCTTACAGTTCAATATTTTATACACATTTAATTCAATATAAAATATTCATTCAATTTAATATATTATACATTTAATAAAGTTATATTCATTCAATTTAAAATCTTTTATACGCATTCAATTGAATATAATATGTTCATTCAATTTAATCATTTGGGTGTATATGTATTTAATTTAATCCTGTAACAATATGCATTCAATAAAAATATTCATTCAATATTTAAAAAATCCATTCAATATTTGAGGACTGGGCCGAGTGCTCGGTTAGCACCACCAGACGTATGGAATTTAGTATGAGTTCATACGTTTTCGCGCCATTATCAAACAACATGGCCGCCTTGGGAAAGGAAACGATAACAAAGGCTGCTGAATTGCTTCAGCAAGCGTCCACGATGTTGCTGTCGGTGAATGAAAATTTGTCGGAAACCAATTCTCGCTTAACAGCTACCAATGCTGGTACGCCTGGGACATCAGCAGCTACTGCATTTGCCGTACCAGAGCTACGCGATACTCTAGCACGAGCTAAATCGATGCTAGCCGCTAGTTCGAATGCTGGCTTGTACAGACGTCTAAATAAAAACGAACGCCTGCGAGCTGCTGCCGGAAAATCATCATCTTCATCCTTACAAGGTTCAAGTTCAAGCAAGAAAGAAAAACCACTGCGAAGTTCAGAGAAAAAGCCGTTTGAATTTGCACTGCTTCGAGCACCTGAGGTAGACAGTGACGGTGAGGAAAAAAATAGCTTAAGGAAGGACTATGTTATTAACAAAGGTATTATTACTTTAACTCCTTCTGACACTGAGAAACTAATAAGAGATAAGATTGTTTCATCTTTAAAACCAAGATATCCCGTGATTGAAAATCGTGACTTTGAATTTGTCAAAGTAGTCCAAAAAAAATTTCTGTTCTTCAGTTGGGAAAAGGAACACAGTATGATTACAGTGTAGTGAAAAAATTGGCTGGGCAAGGTCTGTTGTACATTCGTATGAAGCAAGCAATGCAGTTTGCTGTTGATGAAGATATTCAGGTTGAAGACGATATGGCAGATGATCCATTTTTATCCTTAGAACTACCCAGTCCATTTAATTCACCAACAACATCACTTGATCTAACAGGTGCACCAAGTGATTGCAATCTTGTCCCAATTGGCCCGCCTGTTAGAGAAACCCCACTTGATAGTGAGCAATTTACACTATCCCCACAAAGTGTCCAGGAATTTGGACCAGTAGTTCCAGAAATTGAACTGTCTCCATTTTTTTCAACAGTAATTGACGAAATACCATCCACTGTTAGTGACCCAACAGAAATGTTAAGATTCTTGCAGAAGAAGATTTTGTTAGGTCGTGACCTAGATGTTAGTGATGTATCTTCTGAACTTAGTGGGGACACTAATTATATTTCAGTAGATCGCGATAATATTTTGTAAACAACATTTTCTGAATTGAATGATGTGAAAGATCCAAGAATCACTTTTGAAGTTCAGTTCTATGGCGAGCAAGCTGAAGACAGGGGAGGCCCCAGAAAGGAATGGATTAGGCTTTGCAATCAGAAAATACAACCGAAATATTTTGAACAAGGTCTTAAGGAGCATCTAGCAAGTGACTATTTTTACATTGGCCAAATGGCAGCAATAGCACTTCTTCAGAATGGACAGTTACCTGTTTACATTCCAGAAACAGTTTTGCAAAATGTTTTTTACAGGTCCGTACCCAAGCACACAGCCACGCATTTCCAACCTACAGAAAGGTCTGGATACTCTTGGAATCCATACAGTTGGTAGAAAGTTCCCACAATTCCTGCATCTCTTTAGACCATCTGAAAATTCTAAGTTGTCTGTAAAAAGGTTACTACACCTTCTGATACTTTCTGAAAAAGGATCAAACAGCCTAAAGTACGAGAAGAGTGCTTATGCTCATTTTGTCAAATATGTTAGAGAAGTAGCTAGTGGTCGTAGAGTAACAAAGCTGGAGAATATCCTGGAGTTTGCTACTTGTGCAAGTGAAGAGCCCCTTCTTGGTTTTGCTCTTTCCCCATCCATTGAATTTGTTGAAGCCACTTGTGCATCCAGGGAGCCTACAATCCTGGACAAAACCATCTGCGACACTCTATTAAAACATTCCTTTGTGGCTTTTTTTACCAGTTAGACCGGAATAATTTACTCGTTTTCCCCCCTCCGCCCCCCAAAACAATGTTGGACGTTTTATCCGTATTCTACGAATACAATCAACATTGAATGGTGGGGGAAAGGGGGAGGTTTTCTAAATTTACAATAACATTACGATATTTTGTCCAGTATAATTGGAAGTGTCGCAGATGTTTTGTCCAGGATTGTCTGAGACGAGTCGAAATTACATTCTTTTATATTTCGCTTGTTATACATGTCCTTGCCATGTATTTTGTTTATGCGCATTGCTCATGACCTACTTATATTCATAATTACATCAAGTACCTTATTTCATTAATTAAATACGTCATGAATACCTTAGTGTTTTGGAGGGGGTAATAATGTGTAGTAGAATATACAATACAGTATATTATTTTTAATTTTAGCAATTAAAAGCAACGAAATGTTGCGGAAATAATTGAGAAAGTAAAACTATCGCGTTCTAGTCGATTCGTTGCAATAATTCAGAAATTAAGAAATATATACGAGTCATATTTGTTAACTGCATATATATATAAGACCTGCAAGACACAATAGACAACCTATAGTCGACCATGTGAGAAGGTGCCTAGACGGACATGCAAACGATCAGTGAATGAGATGCAATGTACGACACAAAAAATATATTTCCATGAGAGTTCGTGCAACTTATATATTGATAGGTTATACATTCAGTCTATACGTACATAGACGAATGCGTGTGGTATCCAGTAGAACTAAAGGACAATAAATTCAATATAGACTAGTTCCCGCGTTTCTGGTATTTACTGCATATATTTAGAATATTAAGCGACAACTATATAATTGTGAATTATGCATTTTGACACAGAGTTTTCCTGGTGTGGTAAATCAATGCTCTGATATTTTCCCAATGTCATACCTAACGGTGTACCACTGACCAATACACTATGACTGTGATAATATCCTCAGTTATGGGATATAATACAAACCAATGACATGGACTTGAAAGAACGTGTGTTGCTTAGTATTCCAACCTACTTCAGACAATATTTAGCGCGATAATTTTAAAATACTCCACGGTGTACCATTTTCACCCTACAAAAGGTTATATATATATATATTCTTATATGTTCACGCTGTACCATGGTACACAGTCAATGCGCATGCGCTATTATACGACAATAACAAAAACGGATTAGTCATTTAGTGCGGCGGTCACGCAATATATTTCCACTCAACAGCTAAGCGTTAGTCTGTCTAACAACACAAATAAGTATGGATAAACGCATTTTAGAATATTCTTAGTGCAAAATAGTTGGTGTATACACTATGAGGTACATTGACTTGCTCTCCGACGTATATTAAATGCGCGAAAGTCGTCGCATATGATTCTTAATCGCATTCAATCAATCAATCAATCAATATTTATTAACCATATTCAAATATTTACAAGCAGGTAGAATTATTTAAACAGACGGATACATATTATAATGAAAAAGCTATAAATTTAATTATAAAATAGAAGAAAAGAGTAAAATGTAATATGGATGGAGATTGGCAGAAGAAAACTCCAGGGAGTTTGTAAAGAATGCCAATCACCAATTTTACCAAGGTCGAGTACAAACTGAGCAGGGTTTCTTATCCAAAATAAACTAAATTCAGCTTTTCATCATTTCATCAAACAATAAATATTTGAGCGTTTTTTTAAATGATTTTAATGTTTTTGACAGAGTGATAGTGTCATCAAGCGAATTCCAGAATAGGGTCCCGCTTTGTCTTAGCGTCATTTTTCTAGTTGTGGTTCTTACTTGAGTGATATGTAATTTGCTGGCAGTTCTGGTATTATAGTTGTGAATTTCATCATTATGAAGAAAGTAGGTTTGGAAGATAGGTGGAAGAGTACGAGGATAGTTAATGCATCTAAATATAAAGGCTCCAGTTTGGTATTTATTTATGTCATAAACAGTCAATAATTTCAGCTTATAGAATAAGGGCTTTGTGTGGTCTCTAAATCCAACGTTAGCAATTATTCGTATCATACGTTTTTGTAGTTTAAAAATTTTTCCTAAATTTGTACTATATGTCTTAGCCCAGATAATGTTACAATATTGTATATATGGTAACACAAGCGTGCAGTATAGTGATCGACGTGCTGTGGCTGAAATTAATGACTTAATTTTATTTATAACACCAATGGATTTTGACATTTTTAGAGAAACGCTATTGATATGTGGCTTCCAATCAAGATTTTCATGAATATGAACACCAAGGAATGTTATAGAACTAACCTGTTCAATGAGTTTGTTATCTATTTTTATATCAGTTGTTTTTGTATAGTACTTGTTTCTAGCACAGAAAATAATACATTTGGTTTTCTTCAGATTTAACGAAAGTTTGTTTGATTTAAACCAGGTGGCTATAACACTGAGCTCTTGGTTTGTAATCTGTATCAGTTTATTAAGGTCTTTCCCTGAAGAAAAGAGACTGGTGTCGTCTGCAAACAGGATTATTTTTAAAAGGGAAGAGCAGTTAGATATATCATTCACATATATAAGGAATAATAGAGGTCCAAGTATGGACCCCTGAGGAACTCCGCAAACGATAGTTTTATGCGTTGACAGTATATCATTGAATTTAATGAATTGTTTCCTATTAAAAAGGTAATCTGAGAACCAAAGTAATGGTGTTCCTCTTATCCCATAGTGACTAAGTTTCTCGATAAGAATTTTGTGGTTCACAGTATCAAATGCCTTACTTAAATCAATGAATACACCTACGGAAAATTCTTTTTTATCAATTGAGTTTGAGAGGTTATCAATTAAGTCCAAAACTGCCATAAAGGTTGAATGATTTTTTCTGAATCCAAACTGATTATCAGAAAGAATGTTGTGTTTAGTAAGATATTTCTTACATAGACAACTCTTTCAAGAATTTTAGAAAAAATTGGGAGTATTGATATGGGACGATAGTTAGAGAATTTTTTGTTGTCATCAGCTTTGAAAATGGGGAGGACTTTGGCAACTTTAAGTTGGTCAGGTACTCTGCCCGACTCCATTGATATATTGAAAATGTATGAAAGGATGAATGCAAGTGGCTCTGTAGCCTGTTTGATAACAAACGGATCTAGACAGTCTGGACCTGGTGATTTATTAGGATTAAGATCTCTTATTATAGCAAATATTTCATTATCATCAGTAGGGTAGAATACAAAAGAGTTGGGGTAAGACCCTGTTAAGAACTGAGTGAATTTTGTTTGAGTATATGGAATTTTAGAAGCAAGGTTAGTACCAACATTTACAAAGTAATCATTAAAGGTATTGGCGATCATTTCAGGATTTGTGCTTCCTTACATGAACAAAATGTAATTTTCTATGCTAATATTATTATGGCTCATTTCAACAGGCGATACAAATCAGGTTAAAATGACGAAGGTACACATTTAATTTGAAACTACATGTAGGGATCGCCCCTAAGTGCCCTCACCCCACTCCTCCATTGGCAATGCTTGGATGTGAAAAGCCTATTCTTTATAGACCATGTACAAACTTCTTCACATTCATAATTCAATATTTAATATTAAGGTCAATGACTTCAATCAAGTGAGATGCCCAAGAAATATTGTTATAAATACTACACTATCAAAAAGCTGTCAAGCGAAGAAAAAATGTTGTCTTTGTAAGAAATAAATCAGTTGCAGAGGTCAACATCCTGTGGAATTGTTACTGTATTAACTCAACACAAAATGTTTCCTATGTATATTTTACACGAGTTGTAAACCAGGGGCCGGTTGTATAAAAACGTAATTAGCGCTAACTGTAGTTAGCGTTAATCACTGTAGTTAAATCCTTAACTGTAATTAGTTAACTACATGGGTTAACTGCGTTGCACAAAACGTAGTTAGTCGGATAGTTACCTAATCACGTAGTTAACTGTGCGTGGGGCTTGCGTGGGGCGTTTAAACACAAAATTACATAAAGTAAGCAGCGAATAACGACCGCTGACACACATTTTCAACATGATTGTGGACTCGTATTTTGCAAATAGGCGGGAATTTTATTCAAAACTCTAGAAAACAGTGAAAAATATACAAGAAAACAAGGAAAAACCGCCACAAAAATCATAAAAGAATGCAGTTTTTCCTTGAGATGCCTACGTTAAACCAAGGTATAGCTGTTTGGCAATTATATATCAATGTTTCTTGGTGTAATGGACCATACTTCGTCTTCGAGAAATCGTCCTGTGCAAAAATATGTTCTGTTTTCGTAAAAACACCAAAGCGATAGCGTTTGAAGAGTTTATATTGTCAGGAAACATTCACAGGGAAGATAGCGATTGAAAATCTCAGGTAACCGTTGCTTTTCATTGCTTTACTGAAAAATGTTGTTCACTCCTATACAAACGCCATTTTTAACTACGTTTTGGACAGTTAACTATACCCTAAAGCATAGTTAACTTTAACTACTTTTTAACTGCAGTTAAGGCTAACTACACTTTTATACACCTGGCTTAACTACGTGATTAAAGTTAACCACTTTTTAACTACTTTTTAACTGCAGTTAGCGCCAACTACGTTTTTATACAACCGGCCCCAGCAAAATAAAATTCCGTTACAATATACTCCTGAGATAATGAGATTGTAATCTCTCTTCTGGGGAAATAAATAGCAATTGTGTAGTACATACCTTGCTTGATTTAATCTTTAAGTATTCCTGCGTTGAGAAGTAATAAATATTCAAATATTCCGGCGATAAAGAAGCTAACGATTTGAATATTCGCAACGATTTGAATATTCGCAACTATGAAATATGGCGACAGGCAAGAGTCGCGGTGCGCAAAGCATGTTGGTACCATTTTTACCGAACTCGAAGCGAGCTGTTTCGATTATGTCCTTTTATGGACATTGTCGTGTTTCGTTTCATAAACCGTTGGTTATTGTTCGTTCTTTGGCGCACAATATCTATAAATTTTGAATTCGAATCGCATTCAACGGCGTATATGAATATCAGCGTTTATATAATAGCTATACTATGGTAAATCTTTGTGAGGACAGTGCTTGGATATGAATAATGAACATGAATATTAAATATTTAACAAAATTAAAGCTAAATAGTCGATTCTGTCGAAAGATCAAATCGAAGGAAGAGCGTTGAATTGCTGCCAAGGTCCAGATCATGGTCAAGATAGCGCGAATTTCAGGTTGGTAGATTTGTTTGAACGTTTGAAGCGGTCCCAAGAATATTGTTTACATTTTTAAAATACATATCCCTTCTTGTCTGTTTTAACTGTACAACATAGGAATGATCATCACTTCTAGTCTTCAATATTCAGTGGTCAGATGGACGTGTTTGACTGAGGCAATGGTTCACACTTCACATTGTTTTATACAGATACAATAAAAGTATATGGCCCCTGTACATAGCCCCCATCAAAAAATCTTTACGAACGAATATAAGCCCAGGGCATGTGTTCGAAGGTTCACGGTATGCCATTATATATCTGATTCTCTTGTGTTCTTTGATTGGCAGTAAAAACTGTAATCATTTTAATGGTGTCTGAAATCTTATAGTTTTTCCATTCTTTTAGATTGATGTAAACCAAATGATATATCACTTTTGCATCATGCTGTAGTACATCAACACAAAAGAACCGGGTTTAACCATAGAGGGTTCAGACCACCTGATAAAGGAGATTGACAGTAGCACAGCTATACAAGAAGGTATATAATCAGTACCATGTAATGTTTTTTGAAGATAAACTCTTTTGATGTATTACATCGCTGCTGTGGGATTGGTTTATCTGCAGTGGTCTGCATGTTACTGCATGGATCCAAATGCATTGTCGTGGGAAAATTGCCTAAAGCAATATAGTTATAGGGCAGAAGAAACTCTTAAAACTGAATTTAGTTGTTACTACTGTATACCGTACTGTCTAATGAAGTGATTTTAGTCAATATAGATATATACATATGCATGTTGTTGTTGTATATGTATAATTAATATAGCTAGCTATACTGTACACTAGGGGTTTTTGAATTGCCCGTCCGCTGGTGAACGGGAAAAACGGATTGGTTAGTATTTTTATGTAGTTGTCAATCAACGGCTAAATTCGGTTAAATGTTAATCATTAACCAAATGTTTTGACGTTTTGAAACTCTGCGTTTTGAAATTAGTTCACGTCAAGTCAGACCAGAAATGGAATAACATAATATAAAAGAAGCAAATTAAAAGATACAAGCTGAAAAATAACACTCTAAATAGTGTTTTTGATAGAGATTCGAACAAGAATATTTAACAAAGAAGATACGTCCGAAGGGGCCGAAGTTATGATCGGCGAAAGGTATGGGCTAGTCTATATTTTCGTTCAGACAATATGTAGCGTATTATAAATTTGATAATATACGATCTCGCTTGACTTTCAAAGGCCATAAATCGCAATAATGTTGATATTGATAGAAATTATGAAGATATGTTGATATCGATAGAAATTAGGATATATTTCTTCACTGAATCGAACAGTGGGATTTTCATATAGGCCTATCATGTTCTGAACCAAAGATACTTGATAGGTATTATATACGAACCTCCAAAGTATAAACAAGGAGCCGGTTGATACAGTAATTATCAAATAACAGTTAAACTCTTATATACCCGTTGAATATGTATAGTTGTAAACAAATAAAAACTATCGTTCTATAAGGTTCAATACTTTCAGTTTGGTTGTTGACTGATGATGAATCTATAGTATAGACTTGCATGCTTTGTATTTTGAGCATATTAAACCACCGTTTTAAGGCAGCTAAACGGGCTTGGTTCAGTGGCGTGCTGGCAGGGGGGGGCCGGGGGGCCACGGCCCCCCCAGCTGGCAATTTTTGGGGGGCGCAAAAATGAAAAGGGGGCGCCGATCCTGCGCCGAATTTTGAAAGTGGGTGGGAAAAGAACGCATTTGAAAAAATATAGTTACTTCCACCAAGAAAAAATGTGTTATAGGCTTATAAACAGACTGAGCGCATAGGCGACAAAGTGCTATATTAAATTACAGACTATTTTGTCTAACCAGCCAGTATTGCTACCTCACACGAAATCGTTCATATAGAAACATGATCAGTGATCACACGCAATGTCGCATTACCAGAATATTGGCCAGGTTTCGAAGCGATCACGGGAATTATGCCCCTTTTTGCTTGTATTATGCCCTTATATTATGCTTTTATATTGCTTCATGAATCACGAGAGCGGCGCAAATTAGATAGTTATGATAATGTAAAGTTGTGTACGCAATTTAGTTGTTTGAACAAGAAACATCATAACTCATCGAGTAATGTAAGTAGTAAGATAATGCTGAAACGCTCGCCCTTTTGGCAGCCAGGCAAGGAAACCTTAAACGGCATGGTGTACCACTGACATCGAGTCGCACCGATGTGCAGATGAACTGCTCAACTTTGCAGAATCTTTTCAAAAATCGAAGTGTTCAGTGATTTTTCATGAAGACCGAAAGAAGAAGAGAAAGATTCTGATCTAGACTCCGGTTCTGAATCTGAAACCGAAGACTACGAAGAAACCGACAGCGAGTCAAGCGACGACGGAACTGCTGAAGAACCAAAGGACAAGGATAAACAATCATTTCTAGAAGCTCTGAGAATTTTGTCGAATCCTGATTACCACCTAGTTGATGTATTTCGAACTCTTTGTAAAGTTTACGCAATCGCAGTTGCAATTCCAATCAAATCCGCACACGTTCGTCTTTGTCTCAAGACAAACTTGAAGCATTGCTACTTATGACCGGCACTGAACGGAAGATTTTAATGTTTTTGAAAAAGGAGCAGATTATTACCGCCTTGGAGGTCTGACATCAGAATTGTCAAAGGCGCTTATATGAAAATGTTTAGAAATGCTATAAAAATTGACAATGGTTATTGAAACATTAAAGACATTGGAGAACATCGATCAATCGATATGGGCAATACTTGACGTTATCAACATTCGATACATCACGTGAAAAATAGTACTAACTATCAAGTGATATACTGTATAGTATTTTAAAACTCTTTTTGTATGTTTTGACAAAAAACATGACAGATTCGTATGAATAAAGTGCAAGCACACCGTTTTAGTAAAACATTACAAGTTATTAGTGAGATCGGCGTTTATTATAAATCAAAATATTTTATACAAATATACTCAACGAGTGACTTTATTCCTCCACAATTAATCTAAAATAAAGATTTATAGTAAAACTGATACCGTACCAATTTAAGTTCCTCTACGGAAATTCTAACCAAATTGCAAATTTCGACTCGTTATAATCTCGTTTCCTGACCATCAGATTTCTGTCAAATCTTCCCCCCAAAGTCCACGAAATGGCATTTCAGAGACTCTAAATTTAAAAATTTTGCGGGGGGGCATGCCCCCGGACCCCCCTAGGAACACCTCGCACCTACGGCGCTCGGCTCGTGCCTTCGGCCCTCGTTTATCAAGCGTCACATTATAGGGGCGCATATTGGTTGATAGCCCACTGGCCCCCCAGAAAAATAGTATCCAGCACCCCACTGGCTTGGTTTATATTAACACATAAAATAAATTCCTTGATTCTCATCACTAGACACAGTCTACACTTTGAAATGTCGAAGACAGTGGGAGATTTATTTTTTATATTTTATATTTATATAATTTATATGTCAATAGTTCGTATCTCCACGAACAATGACAGAATGACTGAGTTTCTTTAAAATACAATGAAATTTCATTCAAAATTCTGTTTGTTTCAAATTGGAAGTTTAAAATGGCAATAAAAACTCTATATAAAATATAAAAAATTTAACTGTCTTGAATTATTTTGTCGGGCGGTACATTTATATTGTATAACGAAATATAAAACGTTTTCACGAGGATTTTAAATTCAGTCGGGCGGTGATGATCATGAGAATCAAGGAATTTATTTTATGTTGGGCAGTTGGGACTTGGGAGCAGCTTGGGAGTGGCTAATTTTGAATATTTACTTAATTGATGCATCTATAAATAGCGTTGATGCTTCAGGGGCGGTAATTCATTTACACCCAGTTTTGCGGCAGGCGGTATTTCCTAAGTACCGCCTGCCATGCAGGCTACATGTGGAGGTACTGTAAGTAGCCCTCAATTTCAAAAATGCTCTTTATAGAACCTACTCAATTTTAGGCTCTTGCTCTCAAGTTGGGGCCCTATTAAGGTGGGGGCCCAGGGCAATTTGCCCCCCCCCCCTCCCTCTTGGCGACCCTGACTTTACATGTGATTAGTTTTATACTGTAGCTAAATAGAATATGCAATCCTAACGTAGAATGTGTTATATTTTGAGTGTATACCATATTGCTAACCCATTGAGCTGAATTGTGCCCTATTTTGTTGTTTTACTATCAATATTTGAAACATGGCTTGTTTGGCAAGACATGACATCCTTTGGCAAGACATGACATCCTTTCGGTTTTTCACATATTGTATTTGACAGAATGTCATTTCTGCGATATATCGAAACAATACCATTTCTTTGATGTATCGAAACCATGGATAGTTTAGAGTTTTCGACATATTGAAAAAATGGCAATCTTTTGATATATCGAAGAAATGGCATTCTTTCAATAATATATAGAAGCCATGTATAGTTTAGTTTTCGATATATCGAGGATATTGCAATCTTTCGATATATTGAGGAAATTGCAATCTTTCGATATGTCGAAGAAATGGCATTCTTTCGATATATCGAAGAAATGGCACTCTTTCGATATATCGAAGAAATGGCATTCTTTTAATATATTGAAGAAATGGCATTCTTTCGATATATCGAAGAAATGGCATTCTTTCGATATATCGAGGAAATTGCAATCTTTCGATATATCGAAGAAATGGCATTCTTTCGATACATCGAAGCATTGGATAGTTTAGAGTTTTCGATATTTCGAAGGTGGCATGTTCTTGATATATAATTTTCACTGACTGTGGCTGCCTCCTGACATGTTTTGGAACTATAACATTTTCCTCTTTTTTTCCCTTTCATTCACATGCATTTTACTCACTTTGCTAAAAACAATAAATTTTCCCCAAATTTTTTAGCAATTTTTTCCTCTTAGAGATTTAGTATCATTTTAGTCATATCTTGCAACTTGGAAACGCTAAAATTGTTGCAAAATGTGTGTGTTTTTGCTGAATATATTTTCAGTCATTTTTAACATGCATTTGATGTGATTTTCCTATTAAAACATGAAATCTGTCATTGTCCACATTTGCAATTATTCTTATGTTTTTAACCAATTTTTATCATGTTTGAAAAGGAATTCTTGTTTTCATGCAGAATTATTGCATTTATGTATAATTTCTCCACAGTCATGGCTGTATTCATTGCATTTTTTAGTGTTTTCTTTCATTTTCCTCTCAAATTCTGTTAAATAGAATATTGGACCCTATAGTAGAACGTGTTCATAGAAATAATAGATATAGAATGCGTACTCCTATCTTTTCTCAGTGAAAATTTGTCTCCACAAAATGGCGGATTTATAAGGGCATTTTG